ATGCAACACACCGATGAAGAATTCTGCCGTTAATTGTTGGAACGGCTGTATGTAGGTCGGTGAACATGTGTAAATGATCGAGCTGGAAGTCAGGGTTAGGGTTACGTGACGCTTTTGTGGTTTTGTTTTTATTGAGATATTTGATCTAGCATCTGATGAAGCTTTTGTGCACCATATGGTTGGGGTTCTTCATCTTGAGTTGGTTCTTTTTGTGGCTGTTGAGCCAATGGAGTTTAAGAGTGGCAGTAAGATGGGAATACAAAGAAGCTTTTGTTGTGTATGTAGATGGGTGAATCGATCAAAACACTTTCATAAAAGACTCCGTAGTCAAATTATGTAAAACCCACCCTGACCCACTCCCACCAGTTTTACAAAATTTCTAATCTTGTCATCGCTCACCGGTGCTTTTCAGTTGAAAAAATCCAGTTTAAGAAATACCCCACAGATTTAAGTTTTGTACTTCGATTGTTTTAGAAAAACTCAGCTTCTTTCTTATCATCGTTAACTTTCATTCGACTTCAATCGAAAAGTAAAAAAATAAAATAAACTCAAATCCCCTTTCAAAATTCAAAAACAAAATAAGAACACTGGATCGTTCTGTTCTTGTACTTTTATTCTTCTTTTCTATCGTCGGATCCAAGTTATGACGAAAGTGATTTGATAAATCAAACCGAGCTTAATTTCTTAATCGCAAACTTCCTTCACATACAAGACCCTTTATCAAGCTTTCTTCTCGATCGATCGAACAGTTTTCAATCAGCTCGTCCAGAAACGCCAAGATTGAGGTTGCAAAATAGAACATACCTTACCTGGATACCAACCAATCGATTGAAACACGATCAGATTGTAGCATACAACTTGGGATTAATCCATTACCGAATTCGAACTCATCCTTTCTTGACTCAATCCTTGGGTATCTTGTACTCTTGAACTGTTGTTGTATTCGATTGGTGTACTGTTTAAGCTTGTATTGTGTATTTCTTTTGAGGACCTTGTGTACCAGAAACCATCACCCTCATCTTCCCTCTTTCGACACCTTCAACCAGATTTGACCATCTCTTGGTCACTTCAACTCCTGCCCTCCGTAGTGCAATCGTCTCTATAGTATACCGTAATTATTATTTGATATCTACCGCCGCCTCCGCCACCATCCACATCATCACGGGTGTCTCTATCTACATCTTGATCTGTTTATTCAACTCTTACCTCTTTCGGGTTCCTGTACTACAAGGACGTACAAATAGATCAATATCCTCCTCAATCTCACCACCAATCTTCTTGGGCCTCGAGCGCATCCGGAATTGTAGTTTTGTTTTTGTATTGTCGTAATTGTACCATCATCTCAACTACGACCACCGAACCACACAAGTCCACACAACACCATCAACCCACGGACCATCAACCTATCCTCTCCGCCGTTCCCGGTCGTTCTAAATCACTCATCAGGCTGGTTCATCACGCCGTTCGGGTCAAGGCTGAAGTGAGTGCAATCTTGTACATTTCTCAAGTATCAAACATTTCACCCTTCAATTTCAATCCCAACCCCTGTATCTATTTATCTCTTGGTCTGTGTTCATTCTCATTCAATTACCCTTCAACTATACACATTTGTATCTTTTTCTTTCTTGAGCGACTCGACAAGTTTGATTTACTGAAGTCGTAAGTAAAACTCTTGACTTGCTCTTTGAACATCACCCATCATTTTAACGATTCATCATCGCGACCTATATATAATTGATATATATATATACAGATATAAATTCCGTAAAACTAAACCAAAAATCTGAAGCCTCCTTGAGCACGATATCCTCCTCTCTTGGTGGTCAGGTGGTCATAGTTCCCTCGTCAGATTTAATCCAACTTTGAGCTTCCTAATTCCAATAATCCGTCAGCTCAGCCTCTCTCTCACACTTATACACACTCTCCGTTCTGTGTTGGTCGACTTAAGTGTGTCTTCGAGTCATACACCGGCTCTTACCGGTTTCTTCTTTCTGCTTCCTCCAGCTTGAGCTCCACCCATCGGTACATTGTATCGCTTGCTTTAGTTTTAGGCTCAGCTTCATATCTGTATTTCTTCACCAGTTTCTTCACACCATTATTTACTTCAATAACTGACTCTGAGCCCTACACCTTTTCTCACATCCAGCACCATTCAGTTTGATTCAATCGCTTGGTCTGAGCACCTCCTTACTTATTCAGCAACCCCCTCCAAACACCAGCTTCCTCAACCAATCCACGTGAAGCCACCAAGGAGTAATTTGAGTCAAAAAGTCAAAAAAGTACTTACACACGTACCACCAAGCACCACCAAGCACCACCCACAACCTCCCCCACACTGGCATCAAAAAAACTTTGACAAAAACTGTACAGTACGTTTTTTTCGCATCTCTCTCTCTGTAGTCATCCTTCGATGACCTTGGTATCTCAAGCCATCGTTTAGCTTTTGAGCATTTCTCATCCATACGACGTCGCTTTTTACACCTTCCTGTTCTATCGGCCTACGCGTGCTAATTTTGCTTTTTTAAAAAACAAACCCCTGTCTCACCAGCCGAGATTCCAGTCGTCATCCCTTTCCTCCAAAGTTTCCTCATCGACAATCAATCGCCCTTGCTTACAGGTAAGTCATACCCGACCCTCTTGCAACTTATTATATAAACCCTTGAGACCGACTTCTTGCTTTCCCTGCTTCCCTTTCCCCTTTTCGTCATTACAACCTGTGAAACGTTCATTTCGGTAATCCGCGTCAAAACGAAATCTTACCAATGCGACCATTCGTGTACTGCTGTATTTTTTTTCAGCTCCTCAAAAGAATTTCAAGCTTCATTCAAGTCTGTCCTTACTTCATCATCCAACACCAACGTTCAAGATTACTTTCAACCGACATCTTCAATGACGATGAGTAAGAATACACTCCTTCAACAACAACAACTTTCTGCCTCACCATCATCAGGAGACCTCTCCGCTTCCATCGATACTCTTCCTCCAAGGCGCGGTCAAGATTTATTCGGGGTAGGTGGAATTCCCATTGGCAGATCTGGTCCAACGGGACATCAACACAGTCGTACCAAGAGCAAGACCGATTTTCTTGATCTAGCGGATTCGGTGGGTTGCATTACTATTTCACGTTTTCTCACAGCCTGGTCGGCCCACACATGACTGAACCAACATATCTCCATTTTTGCATCTTGATTCCAACCGAATTCTATTCACTCGCTGCCACAGAGCACCAGACTGAGTAATTCGCCTGAAGTTAACGCTGTAAGCTAGCTATACTGCTATCCGAAGCTCTTACCTCTCCAGTCATATTGCATCGACTCTGACCTTGCACTTTGAATGTTTTATATTTCGCCTCTCACAGCGCCTGGAACAAAAACGAGCCGAGCATGAAAGGCAGAAAGCGGAGCAGAAGCGAGTGTTTGCAGCTCAGGTTGGCCTTTTTTACTGTCGCTCAAGTGTGGGATGTTGGCTCACGACTGCTTGTTTAATGTATCAGATGAGAGCTTTGGAAGCGCAACACGAATCGGAAGAACGTGAATTGATGGGCGTCCCTGCATCGGCTCCAACTACTCCCCCTAGATCTGATGGTGACTCAGAGCGGGTCGGAATACGGGATATGGATGATCATCGTAATCATCGTCAGTTGAACCAGTATGGTAACATTGGTGTGGTTAAAACGAGTGCATTTCGAGAATTTGCCAACAATTCTAAGAGTGTACCTGCCAGTCGTCGTCACTCTGGCCAAGAAGAAGACTTATTGGGACTTGATAAGCTTAATCTTGGTGGACTGGGAAACTCTCTGGCAGCGTAAGTTTGACTTTGAGATTACTGGCAACTATTCGACAGCTAATGGAAATTCCTGCGTGCCTCTTTAGACCTTTTTCGAAGAACGCGAACCGACATTCGCACAAACTCCCTAATGCCAACCATGAAACCCCCTCGGTCACCTCATTCTTGTTTGATGATGAGCTGGAATCGGATCTACAACGTCAGTTCAAGCAACATTGTTTTGAAGGAATCCATTGTCACCGGATTGTCAGCTCTGACATCTTCCCGGATGTTTTTACAGATTCGACCTTCGGCGGTAAATATTTACAGATGAACACTGATGATGACAAGTTCCCCATCTTGGTACGCCGAGATAGTTTCCCCGGCATGGTACGTTCCTCCGCGTTATTGATCTGCAGTTACCAGTTCGATTACTGACGTTCTCATCTCTACAGCTCTCTGCATCTTCCGCTGCGCTTGACCTCGCACCACTCGCCCAAACTCCACCGCGGCACTCCAACCTCATGAGACCTACCCCCACATCTCGTGGTGGCGAATGGTCACCATTCGACTCGCCCAACACCTACCGCCCTCTGCCACACTCGCAGTTGATTGAAGGTGATCGAAGCCGGCTTGGAACCCAGACACAAGTTCCCACCCCTGTTTCCTTCCACACCGATACTCGAGCCTCGCCAGTATCTGACCGTGGCGCATCCCCTCGGCTCACTAGAGTGGTTCACATGAATGGCTCTACCACTGCCCGGACACCCTCCAGTCTGTCAGGCCCCAACACAACTGCCAACGGGGGTAGCACGTCAAGTCATGGAACCACTGCAGTCCTCAATTCGAGCAGTAGTCTCACCTCGCCCCAAAACGAAAAGAAATCGAATTCCTTCCTTCCACCAAGGTCACCTGTCGATATGCAATCTGTGCTTGGCAAAGGCTACCCCTCTGGAGAGTTCAACTCGCTTCGATCCCCACTTCCGACGATTGGTTCAAATAACTTGCGAGAATCAAGTAATTTTGGAGTCACCCCCTATGGACTGAATGGATCGAGAGCTTTGGATTCGAATTTTGGTCAATATGGTGGCTCAGCTGGATTGAATAGCAGTATCGGATCTGGTGGACTGGGTGGTTTTGGTGGGTTTGAAAGTTCGGACGGATACGGTGGAGTTTTAGGTGCCAATGGAACCAATGCGCAGATGCTATTGAACAAGGCCCGCGCTCGTGATCCTGAGACGAACAGGTTTGCGAACATTCGCCTAGAGGACATGCAAGGGGATATGTTTGGCCTTTGTAAAGTAAGACCTACCTCTCATCATCCGATAAATGCTCTGCTTATCTGTTTCTCAACCACAGGATCAACACGGATGTCGATTCCTACAAAAGAAGTTGGAGGAAGGAGAGCCCACGCATCGTGACATGATCTTTGCCGAGATCTATCCTCATTTTGGAGAACTCATGACAGGTAGATATACCCTCATCATGTTTTGTTGCTCAGTGACCAGCCTTGCTGATCTCATTTGCTCTTTCAACAGACGCTTTTGGGAATTACCTATCACAGAAACTTCTTGAATATAGTACTGATGAACAACGAGACCTTTTGATTGAATCGATCAGCGGTGAACTGGTATCAATTTCCTTGAACATGCATGGCACAAGGGCCGTACAGAAGATGATCGACTTTTTGTCAACTCAACGTCAAGTTCAGAGTCTCATCATTGCTCTGAATCTCAACGTCGTCACTTTAATCAAAGACTTGAACGGAAACCACGTCATCCAAAAGTGTTTAAATCACCTACCACCAGAAGACAATCAATTCATTTACAACGCTGTTGCCGCAAATTGCATTGAAGTTGCCACTCATCGACATGGTTGTTGTGTGCTCCAAAGGTGCATTGACCATGCTTCGGAATCACAAAGGATACAACTTGTAACGGAAATTACCTACAACTCGCTGAGCTTGGTACAAGATCCATTCGTGAGTTGTCAATAATACCTCTATAAACCTAGGAGTCACGTTTGACTCTGACTTGTTTCTTGTTTCTGCAGGGCAATTACGTGGTTCAATACGTGCTCGATCTGAATGACAGTCGTTTCATTGAGGCCATCGTCCGTCAATTCTTGGGTAACGTTTGCGCACTGTCGATGCAAAAGTTCAGTAGCAACGTGGTTGAGAAGGTGCGTTTTCAAACCTTGCGATGTGGCTTGGTCACCAATACTGATATCCTTTTCAATGAATTTGATAGTGTATCCGAGTTTCAGATCCGGCCGGACGTCGGGCATTAGTCGAAGAGTTATCTGGCCGTCAGCGGTTAGAAAGGTTGTTGAGAGACAGCTTGTAAGGCTCGACTTTCCTTCTTGAGATCTGGTGTTGCGTGCAATGTGGGCGCCCGAAAAGCTGACTTGGAACGCCGACTTGATTTTGAAGTGCCAACTATGTCGTACAAACTGCTCTAGACTACTCTGATCCTGCCCAACGAGCTCAGCTAGTTGATAACATCCGCCCTATCTTACGTAAGCTTTTTTCGATCCCACTTATTTATTTCTTCGCCTTTGAGCTAACTTTGAACACCCCGCTTGTTAGCTATGATTCGAAACACACCTTATGGGAAGCGTATTCAAAGCAAGATCCAACGTGAAAGTATGGATCCGCTTCGTGGTGGTGGACCTGGATTCCATCCATCGATGGTGGCTGGTGGTGGTTACTTTATGGCACCGCCTCATATGGCTTCTTCAGCTCATCATCCCCATCATCATCACGTCCCAGCAATGCTCGATACTCGATCGTTCTCTGGCGCTGGCTCCTCGCATCAACTTCTATCAGCCCATCATCAACCCAATGCACAGGGCAATCAATCCGGATTTCCTACCCCATGGGCTGTAGCAACTAGTCCGGTTTATGGCTCACTTTCGCTCAATCATGAGCATCCTCAAGCATCAAACTATGCACCGTTTATGTAATACTCGCTTCATTCGAGAAGAAAATCTTGCACTACTTACGCATCTAAAAATCGATATGCTCGCTCATTGACTTCTTTCTACGTCAATGCTAATATTGTACAAATCTTGCATGAAGCTTGAGACTCGATTCGAACGATGATTAAAAAAACACCAAAAAAAATTGAATTCACCTACACAATCGACAGTTCATCACGGATGGATGTGTATTATGGAGGTTTGGGAATTGGGAGAGAATTGCTCAAATATAAATTTGGAAGAAAAAAGAGAAGAAAAATGCTCATATACCCCTCACTCTTTTTTGTCTTTTTCTACAAAATAAAAAAAACACAAAACCTCATAACTTAGACGCATACACAACTAAGCTGAGCGAAACTTTTTTTTGTTTTCTTGATTGAGGTAAGATCTTGTTTAATGATTGGATTTTGATGTTATAACATGAGAGAAAGAGAAAAGGGAGACCATCGAAATCAAAAGTGTGTATTGGGTTAACGGTTTTTGTTTGTTCTGTTCTTTTGATGTTTACTTTTCTACTCCCCCCCAAAAAAAAGGTTTTACTTTTCTTCTCATTCTTCTTCACATGTCTGTGTGTTGCGTTTTATATGATCTGATCTGTTCTTTTTCATTTTTTCTTTTCTCGTATACTACTGTTGTTGTTGATGATCGAATGATGTTGTTGTTTGAGATATATTACCCAGAGAGAAGAAAAAAATGATCTTTTTTAATGTTTGTTGCCTTTTTTTTACTTTTTCAAAACCAAAACAAAAATATACAATCCCTTTCTACCTTCAATTCTATACAAACCCAATACGAAGTGGTTTATACGAAATGGAGGAAGTTAAGAGGGAAAAAAAAAGAAACCTTTATAGAACAAAATCTTTTGTACTTGAAAAAATCAACTTTTTGTGTTACAATTATTATGTTGTATAGGATTTTTTTTGTTTTAGTTGTGTTTGTGTGTTTTTGGTACTTTTATAATAAGAAAAATCTTGAAGTTGTGCAAAAAAAAGAATCAGTTGCATTAGGTTTGCCATTTTTTTAGTTCAAGAACAAGTGCCTGAAAGAATCTATATACGATATCAATATGATCCTTTCGATGTTTCTGTATATCGAGCATAGGGCAATTTTGTTCAATATCATACCCTACATCAACTCAGCATTGTTCATACCGCCCCATAATTCTATTCAGATGAGATTAGTAGCGAAGAAAATGAATAACACCCTCAGTGACAGGACTCAATATATTATCCTTATGCTTATCAGAAAGAGGAAACTTTTGGGGTGAGTTCAGTATAGTGATATCCAATAATATATTTAGGCGATGTGTGACAAGATCGACTTGAACGTTCTTATGTGCAATGTTGCAGTTTTTATGTTTTTTAAACGATCGGACGTTTGATATTCTAAAAGCTTTGATCGAGATTGAAACACCAAGAATACAAATTGATCATTCTCATTTGAAGAAGTGTTACAAAAATCTGTAATAAAAATGTGAGGGAATAAGATACAAGTCATTTAAGAAAAGCTTGCGAAAAATTCCCCGCCAATTCGCTCGAGTTTTGCGGACAAAATTGAGTAAGCTTTTCTTAGATGACTGTACATCACACGCATTGGACTACATATCAAAGGTATATGGCTGACTCTGCGTCTTTTACTTCACTAATTATGATAGATGGGTATAGCCTCAGAGTAAAAAGATGAAGCATGATAGATAACTTATAAGATGTTTTAGACATCATCGGATCCCTTCCCTCTTTTAATGAGAACACTTCCAAAGTCCCTAGCCCCTCGGGAGGCCTCGAGCGCTTGGGTGGATTACACAGTTGCTTAGGCAGAAGGCTTGTTTTATCAAGTTCAGTACGTATCCGGCACCCCAATGCCACACTTTCTAAAAGCCAGGGTTAGATTATCCCTAGACGTCTCGTCTCATCTTGAAGAACAATCTTCGTGTTTCTTGCCGGTGAATGGTATATTCCCTTTTTTGTCACCTGAGACACATGATGATGTAGGAGGTCTTTGGAGCCACTTCAAGTTCCATGTGTGAAAAACTCATCCCGCCCAAGAACCCCTTCCATGTTGTTACATGTCAGATTATATACCAACCTTTGCATGGATCCAATGGCTTCATCACATCACACGGTCACTCGGCAAGAAGTGCATACGCAAACTTGTCTGAAGTCTCCCTGAACAACAAACTTCCCCTATTATATCAGACCGCATGGATTTAGCAAGGTGTGTATCGCGTAGATCGCGTACTATGTTGAAGTAAAAGTACAAAGAACGAAAGTAAGATTGACACTTTCGCGAACTCTTCTTTTTCCTATCCCCACAATCAGATGTATTCAAATTCATACTATCAACAATTCATCACAGAGCAATAAACATGAAGCTACCAGTTTTCTTGAATGGATCACTATCCTCAATTTTCATATTCAACTATATCTTTACTGGTGTACTTGCACCAAATCTGGATCCATTCACACCTCATGACACAAGAAGCTACAATTTATGGAATAGCCCTGGAATCTTAGACGGGGTTTTCTTTAATTTACCGGAATCTGGTGCAACTCTTGGCCTCAATGGAAGACCGTGGCCGACAGATCAACACTTTTCTTTATTTCAACATCAGTTAGACTTATCTAAGAATGAAATCACTATTCAGGATACTGAGAATAAACTTATAGGGAAGGATGTACGGTCACAACTTCAAGGGAATGAAAGATCCATATCTGATTTATCTGAATTACCTTCTTCGCATACTTCGCCTGGATCTAGAATCAAGAATGTGAAAACGCCAAGTGAAGACGCTAAAAGAAGAAAGTATTCAACAGTCGTGCAAAGTGGAATTGAACATCCAGATGTAAAAGTGTCAAACATGTATCAAAAGAATAATCTGCTCCCTAATTCAGCTATCTCATCAGGAGTCGATACCTCGAGCAATGGCAAAGACAAGTCAAATATGAATGATGATATGGTTCACGTCGATGATACAATCAAATCGGCTGGATTGAAGAATCCACAGATTTCGCATCTTCAGGGTAAACCTCACGATTCTCGGGAAAAAAGCAATAGTGAGCAATCTCGAAATTCGCAAAAAGCTACCAAAACACTATCCGAGGCAATGGAGATGACTAAGGCAGTGGAAGACTGGAAGAAAAGTACGGAAATTAAAGAAGAACCTAACCTCGAGAGTAAGATAGAAACGCTTGGAAAAGGTGAAGAAGTCATTACAGAGAAAGATCAGCACGTGAATTCAATTGGGAATTTGAATCCAGGTCTTTCAAGCCAGATGATATCACCTGTTATACAAAAACATACACGTCTAGATAGCCAGCTAGCAGCGAAAACAAGCACCCAGCTCAGGCTCAATTCTGGATCAAAGAAATTAGTGAAAGATCCTACAACAGAAGACAAACAACTGAAACCAAAAGACTCAGAACAGAATGTGATTCTTTCCAAGGGATCAAACCGGGATAATGACGATTCAACTGACCTCGTCAAATCGAGTGAATTTGAGAACGAAAATCCATATAAATTACTCGATAAGCCTTTCAAATCTGTTCAAGAACCTTTGAGGATTCTCAAAAATGAAGCAAAAACGAAAGGGATTGCAACTGATGAAGGCAAAAACGTATTGAATTTGAACTCATATAATGATATGGACGCTACAATTTGGTCACGTACTAAAAGTAAATTGAATGAAGCAGAGATCGGAAAGCTGCAATCAGAAAATCAGTTAGCTAAGAAGGTTTCTAAAAAAGGAAAGAAGAAGAAGAAGAATAAAAATAAAAATACAAATACAAACTCAGCTACAAATCCAAATCCAAATAAACTCGATATGTTAGAAGAAGTAGACGCAGAGAAAGAGATATCCGTATCTTCCTTCTTGAAAGAAACAGCCAAGTCTCCCGATAGGTGTGATCCATTACTTCAAGGACCAGTAGGCTGTGACACAGAGGAAACATTTTTCAATCTCCCCAAGTTGGAGTTTCTGAGCCGGTGCTTGAAGTTGAAAAGCACAACTGAAGGAATCAAAATCGACTTGTCAGATCTCGGATTCAAATACATGATCATCAATGGCTTTGCATCCCACCCTAAAATGTGGACTAGTGATATCCATGGGTTTGCACAGCAGTTTCGTGATATCTTAGAGGGAAAAAGGCGGCTGATGTCACTCCTGGAGCAATTCAAAGAAATGCATGTTGTCTGGAAGTGGAAAGATCGAGCGAAGGTGCTCCCACCAACCGTTCAAAGGGTTGGTAGCTTGTTGAAAGGTGATCAAATGTTTCCTCAATTTGAAAACGCAAAGATTGAAGAATGGAAGGAATGTCATGATACGTTGTTAGAGCTCACCAAATTGGAGGATGGAATGATGGACCTCAACGTAATCTTTGGTCCGGTTTTACAAATTCGCGTGGCCACATTTGCCTACATGGTAAACTCTCATCTTGAAAAGCAATCGAGAGTTTTGAAGGAGATCCTCAAAGATGGATCAGTAATGGACGGCGTTCGTATACCGATTGTCATGAGTATTGCCAACATACTTGATCTTTCATCAGATACTGTGTTTTGGCAGAAACTGAATGAAAAAGAGATTTTGGATAAGACTTGCGAATTGATAGATAATTTGAATGGCTTCATACTTATACCTGGTGGTCAAAAGTTTCATGTGTTTGATCATACGTGGAATAGTGAATATTCAATGTATCGTCTTATCAAGAAGAAAGATAGACTTTCAGAACTCTTCCAAGCTCGTATCAAAACCCTTGCAAGCCTTGCTGATAAACATGATTTAAAAATCCCATCCAGATGGGTGAAAAAGCTTCCTGAATCAGCAGCAGAAGCGAGTTTAGGAGAGGCACTGATTTGTCTTCACGCCGATTTACACTTTGACGCGCTTAAAGAGCTGAAAGATATCTTGAAATCACAGCCAAGGACAAGCGCTCGTATCATTGGTAATTGGGATGAACTCCTCATCCCCCAACACCTTAGGGCGAAGACTCTGGAGTTCCAAAGATTTTTTGCGCTACGGGATCAGAAAGTCAAAGGCTTAGGTACCTCATAAACTTAATTTCACAAAGGTAAAGTCTTCATAATTTCTTTGTCTGTGGGTTAGAAGTCAATCTATCTTGTCTGCGTGCGGATGGTTTTCACGTTTTGCAGCTAGATATTCTCTTGGCTTGGAGCAAGCTGTCCAAATGTACTGAGTTCATTTTGTCCTGCGCAGTTCCCTTTCGCATACCTGTGGCATAGCTGGCGGAGTTGATATAACGAGGCAAATTTAAAAACGGGACAATCTCCACCGACACCACCAAATATCGTATCAATTGGTCAAAATGGGCGTAGAAATATATGCTGTCAGATACCCAAGAAAGTTTCATTTTATATCATCTTAGTCACGAGTGCTCAACAGTGAAGCGTCGTATGGTGTGGTATCCCCGAATAGATATTAATAATGAATGTGCTCCCTTTTTTGTCGCCATGGTTGGGGTTGGATTCACTTGTTTTTGTTTTATTTTATTTTTAGCTGTTTAATTTAACTATGTGGTGGTAGACAATTCAATACATTCACACTGGTCTCTTGCCTTTTCAAGTTTTCTTCGATTTCTTTCTTTGATTGTCAGTAATCATTTCTTTTTGTGGAATATATTTCGCCCTTCTGTGGCACGGTCACAAGGTGAAAAGGTACAGGTGGGGGCACATGTGAATGTGGCGGCTGCAAAGTAATGAGACTAAATGTCTGCCGCATTGTGGAGTGAGATGAGAGAGAAACAGATACTGAACTCAGAAGGACTAGAACAGACTGTTGAGTGCTATTAGTAACGATATGTGGATAGTAGCGCTGAAAAACCTTCTTGATCGATGATAACATATAGATACGCTTACTCTTTTGATTCATCACCCGAATTATGTATCTCAAAAGACACATACAATCATTCATGATCCGCCTTGGAAACAGGATAATCCTTTCTTCAGTTGGTATCATAGCTTATAGATCTCTGTAGTTTAGCAAATGGACTGAATGAAGTGAGGAAATCGCAGACTGGCGCGCCAGCTAGCTCGCAGTAACCAGTACCTGACAATATACGTAGCAGATGTGAATTGATTCTCCGTCGTGGCAATGAAATGCACATCTCATCAATTTGCCACATTGTGAAAAAGCCCTCCGGCTCCAAAACCCATTCCCTGTTAACTTGTTACATGTTTGATCGCAAGGTCAGCTGCTCGTGAGACAAATTGGCTTTATTCGATCACATGATCGCATGGGAAGAATATACACAAACTCGTCTGAAGTATCTTGACTGATGAACAAGATAATTCCACTCCTACCACGGTATACTGAAAGGAGTTACTTTGCAAGGTACTACTTCAGACGTGGAGTTAACCAGGTAGGAATTGTCTACAATGTGAGGCAGCGCAGGAACCCCCCAAAAGTTGTTTCATCTCCTGGCTATTTTTATCAGATTGGATTCATTTCAATCGAGATTGTCCTCATTTTATTGCAGAGGAATAGATATGAAGTTAACAGTTTACTCGAATGCGTTCCTGTTCTTGATCATCAGGTTCAACCTGTTCTTCTCAGTCGTAGTCGCCCCAAATCTGGACCCATTCACACCACATTATACAAGAAGCTACAGTTTATGGAATAGTCTCGGGATATTAGACGGGGTTTCCACTCAAAACCCAGAATCTGATACATTTGTTGGCCTAAATGGCAATCTGTGCCCAGCATATCATCATTTTTCTTTCTTCCAACATCAACCGGAGTTTTCCCACAAGGAAATCCCTATTCAGGATTCTGGGGAAACCCTTACAGGGAAGAATGTGCTTCCACAAGTGAATGAGAGGTTCACATTCAATTTCCCAAGACTCTCTTCTTTGGATACTGTTGCTGGAGCTGGAAATAGTAATTTTGAAAAAAGGAAGTACTCACAAGTCTTGGGCACTGAATGTGAATATTCAGATGTAAACACATCAACCCACAAGAATAAATTCATCCCAATCTCACATGTCCCATCGATAGTCGATACCGTGAACAATGGTAAAGATAAGGAAGTTACAAATGACAAATTGATTCAAATTCATGATGCAACAAGACCATCAGAATTGGAAGATACAGTGGTTTCACATTCTGAGGATCAATCTCATCATTCCCAGGAGAGAAGCTTGTCTGAACATGAGAATGAATGGCACGATGCCCCCAAAAACTTAAAAACACCATCCCAGGCTTTGGAGATGAATGAGACAATGGAAGGCATGAAGAAGAGTCTTGAAACTACAGATAAGTCCAAACTCAAAGGAGTGGGAGAGGACAAAACCAATTCTGGATCCAACAAATGGGTGAAACAATCTACACTACAACTTCAAGGCATAGCTAAAGAAATGCCCCAGCCCAAAGGGTCTGACTACAATGCAATTGTTTCCAGAGAATCTAACCGGAAGAACAAAGGTCATTCTACCGACCACGTCAGTGGATTTGAAAACAAAAATCTATACAAAGTACTTGATGAATATTTCAGCACAGATGAAGCAGACAGGAGAAGCCCCGAGACTGATGATGAGATAAAAGTGAATGAATTGGAAAATGATAAGTCCTCTAGGGTCTCGTCACTAACTAAAACTAAATCGAAGGAAGAAGAGGAATTAGAGCCAAAAGGTATCGCAGAAACCGATGTATATGAGGAAAGTTCATCTTTAAAAGTACCTGGACTAGCAAGTCACTTGGCCAGGAAGGGTCCTAAAAGAGGAAAGGGAAAGACGAAAAAGAAATCTAAGAAATCAGAAGCAGTTTATATGGAGCAAGATGTACAAACTTTTCCCTTCTTGAAAGCAACTACTACTTCCCCCAAGAGGCGTGATCCAGAACTTCAAGAATCGATCAGCTCTAACACCAAGGAAACATTTCTCAAGCTCTCCAAGTTCGAGTTCCTATGCCGGTGCTTAAAGTTGAAAAACAAAACTGAAGGGCTCAAAATCAACTTGACTGATCTGGAATTCGAATACATGATGGTGAATGGTTATGCTACCGACCCTAAAAGCTGGACTGATCATATCAAGATGTATACGTCCGAGTTTGGTAGTCTGATGGAGGGCAAAAGGCGGCTGATGTCAATCCTGGAGCAATTCAAGGAAAGATATATCGTCTTGAGCTGGAACAAACGAAGAGATACGCTCTCACCGTCAGTTCAGAGGATTGGGATCTTGTTAAAAGCTGATCAAAGTTTTCCTAAATTCGAAAATTGTCATGAACCTTGCACGCTGTAACAATTTGTAACACAACGTCTAGAAGAATAGGGCTAATATTTATAATAGCTAGTTAAGAACATATGGCGTATGTATATGATTTGTAAGAAGGAACAAGGAACGCGGATAACGGTTGTTTATTCAATTTTATGTTATTACTTCTCTTATATATACTTTGTTGTTTCTAATACTTTGTTGCTCTTTTCTTCATCGGAATAATCATTTATCTTATTTCTCTCTTCGTTTTTGACATCTCCGCTTTGAGATAGAAAACCGCGTCCCAAGAAGAATTATCGTTAAACAGTACCGAAAGACTTCTCCGTTCTGAGAAGTCTAGTTACCGTACATCCCAGACCTTTACATTTTTATTCCGATCTCTTTTTTTCTGAGCGCTATCGAAAATTTATCGATAAAATTAATTCTTTTTCATCAGATCACTTAGATCACCTTTTTTAAAATTAATATTTTTTTCGTTCTCTCCTTTTATCGACCAAATTTACTCATCGTTCTCTCTCTTTTTTCTAGTTTATGTACAGCAATTTTACACATCCTTCATTTTCTCACGGATTTTTACATCAATATATCCATCCAAGTCAATTTTCAACGGAAGAGTTATTGATTTCATTTACCAACTTACCTCTTTTCGAAATTCCAATTGAAGATCCCGATCAATTGATAACGACTTTTCGACATCTGCCTTTTTTCAATCACTCAGACGAGAATCCATTTGCAGATTCCGTTTTTAATTCTCCGATCACTTCTCAAGCTCTTTTTCTCCGATCTTGGAGGTATTGGTCAGATTTGGAAGAATACGAACAGCTGTATTTGGATCGACGCCTTCGGATTCAGACCCGATCCTTACTCCACCGACTTCTTTAGATTCAGATTCACTCCCAGATCTAGATCAGATATGAATCCATGGAGAGAAGGGAGGGAGAGTCCGACGGCATCTTCAGTCTTCGGAAGAGATAATCCGCCGCATCAAGGAACTAGCAGTGAGCTCTCGGATCCCCATGCCATCAGAATTGATTCTCCCCCAAGTTATCGCAACACTCGTCTCCCACAGTCTCAATCCCCTGTCTCTAGGCTGGCTCAAGGCTTGAGTAATTTGGAGTTCGCAATTAATAGAAGGAATGCGAATCAATCAGGACAACAGGGACCCGCGCACCACAACCGGCAACCTCTGGCGAACCTAGTTGGCGTTTGGCAGCACAAAGATACCAACGACAACATGGACTTGGAGCAGAGATTCCGAATTACACTTACCCTGGTCCGGTTTGGCCCAATGGACCACCTTCCGATCTCCCACCTCCTCCTCCGCCACGCTACTCAGTTCCCCATGTCCCTCATTTCGCGGTACCACCTCCTCATTTTGTGCAGCAACCTGCACCTCAATTCGCTCAAAATCAGCCAAATTTTGCACAACATGCACAACCACCGCCTTTTGCCACCCCTCAACAACCACAATTCGCTCAGAATGCACAAGCTCCGCCTTTTGTGAACCCTCAATTTGGTCAAAATCCGCCAGGACAACCATTTGTGGACCCGAATCATATGCATCAACAACATATGCCACATTTTCATCAACCGCAGCCTCAATTTCAATTTACTCCGACGCCTAATGCTCCAAATTTTGCACCACAACCAGATTTTGGACATTATCAACATCAACCACAACCAGCTCAACAACAGAGATCAACGCCTACAGCCAGACCGGCCTCAAGAGCACCAACCATCAAAATGGTAACGGATTCAAGAGCGCCGAAAGTTCGTGATAATCTGCGTTATTATGGAGATGCAAAAGGCGTGAGACAGTTTTTG